TGCAAAGCACACGTGAATGAAAAATAAAAACATCATATAAAAATTACTTTATTCAGGTTTTATATACAAAATCCCTAGGAGAATACACAGTATTTCAGGGAAACCCATCTAGAATCTGCTCACCTGTATTATCAATAATTTAAAACAATTAATATTCCATACTGCTAAAAAAGAAACCTAAATATAAAAACATGACATTCACGGATTTGCCATAAATATCTAATCAAAATGTACATTTCAAGGAGTCTTAAAATTCCTGTCATTAGGTTTTGTATCACTATTCCAAAGTCTAATATAATTGATGAAGAAAAATAGTGCATACCTTTTCTATGTTACAAGATTAAACAAGAAACTGCGGCTGAATTCACTCAAAAAAAAAAAAAAAAATTAAATCTATACCCTTATTTCATTACTGAAATTCAACAAACCCAACACTTCACCTCTCCCACCAAAATGGGGAAAAAATATCGGTAAAAGAAATAAAAATATTCCACCCATTTACAATCCCGGCAAAATCTGAAGCCTTCAGTAGACTTTTCTAAACTGCCGAAGTCTTCTCCTCACATCTTCAGCACGAACCCTGGCCCACTGGAATTCGCTCCACCCACGAAGAATCCTCTGGCCGCAAGTTCTTCAGTTTCATCAACCTGAGTTAATTGAACAAGGAGGTATTTTTATTTGCAATCATTACTGTCACTACTATGAATTCATCAACATACATTTAGATTAATCAATACCATTCACAGCGATGCATACTCATCTACATTTGTTTGCAAATATGTAACACTAATATGCAGGTAATAAAAAGATTGTGAAACTGGTCTAATTAACTACCAATATAACAGAAACTTGGCACTGTGGCAATGCTTGTCTATAGTAAGTTCACTATGCTCAAGATTTTTTGTTTAAGGACTTTTCTTTCACATTAATATAAAATTCAGCCCCAATTCTATACAACATAAATCCAAATCAATATACCAAATAACTGCAAGAAAACTTAGGGTACAGATATGAAACCGAAAGGTACAGTCTCCAAAAAGAATTATTAGCACAACTGCTTTGGGGTTTATGAAATTCAACACGAACCTAGAGGTGCAACACTACTGTTGGGTTGGTATTTGTGACGGTGAGTTGCATCTTATTCTTTTACTCAAATGAAAACTATGCTCCCATATATATATTAAATAGTTCATAAAATAGGATATATGACTGCATAGACAAGGCCATTAGCAATTTCTAGCAATTATTCATCTTCAAAAGTGTTACATAAAAGACCCTAAAACATCTTCCACAAATATGCTCAATAAAATCTCAAAAGATTCTAGGAAACCTACCAGATCCTTGAAGTTCTTCCCTCCTGACGGGGGCTTGGGACTGATGCCTGTCTTTTTGGAGCGGCCGTGCGGGTTCTCTGACTTGGCTGGCCAGGTGGGGAACATGGCAGGGTCAATGGGCAGAGGAGGCTCCTTATCGAAGTACTCATGATACAGCCCCTCCTGGCAGGTAATGCGCTTTGGTGGGTTGTAGGTCAGAAATCTGAAAAAAAAAGGTAAAAAAAATTGAAGGTTAACAACATCATGACAGCCAGAATTTTCTGTTATGTGATAATTATGCAATAATCTATTCTTTCTGACAGGGGACATGTGTACAGCCGGCTCACCCGCTCGCTTGCTAGAGTGAGTTATGACGTGTATACATGTCATATGCCATTACGTCAAGACCCCAGTCAGTAAAGGGTTAGAAAGAAATTAATAGGTGACAAAATTATTTCAAAGATCCAAAGCTACTACCATCTGGGGATCAACTGACCTATTGAGCAGGTTGAAGCCTTGGTCGGACAGCCTTGTCTTGAACCTCTCACGGAGATGATTGTATGGATAATCTGCAAACTGAGTCTTCTTCACTAAGGGCAGCTGGCTGTACCCAGGCCAGATCTTTTCACTCGGCGTTCCCAGGTCCTGCCAACAAGATGCGCAACTCAGCATTAATACTTTCTGGACATTAAGGTGACACTGATTATGATAAATGTATGCTTACATCCCTCGAGTATTAAAAAATATATAAACAAATAAACTTTAAAAAGGAAGAAAAATATACAGCTCATACAAATATGTATGCATACTCTTGTGAGTGTGTAACATATCCCTATATCATTTCCTCTCCTTCTCTTTATACCAATTAACCCTTTTCCAACTAACCTTGAAAATTTTGTTCAGTTGATCAATCTCTGATTTGCCAGGAAACATGGGCTCCATGCCTAGCAGTTCTCCAAAAATACATCCAACAGACCACACATCGATATGCGTAGAGTATTGTTTGGATCCTAACAGCAACTCGGGTGCTCGGTACCACAGTGTGACAACGATAGGTGTGTAGTGTTTGAGTGGCGATCCATACTCTCTGGCCAGCCCAAAAATCACCCACCTTGAAGAAGAAGAAAATGTCTGGTAAATAAACACTCTAAGGGCAACTCATGGACACTGTTGTTATTTCATATTATTGAAATTTTGGAAAATTTCCATATTTCTCAGAAATATATTTAGTCAAAGTTTGGGGGGGGGTCAGTCATAATACTAAAAAAATCTGCAAATACCATAGTAAATCACACGTAATATACCTTTAGAATTCCTCGATGTGAAAGCAGCAGATTGGAAGTTTTAAGATCCCTGTGCAGAATCCAGTTGTCGTGTAGGTGATGTACAGCTCTTAACAGCTGTATCATGAGCGTCTTGACCTCTCCAATAGTAAACATCTGCTTCTTCAGACGCATTGTCTCCATCAAGCTCTTCAGGTCATGTTCCACATAATCCATTACAATATAAATCTTATCCATGTTGCTCCCCACAACAATTTCTCGCACAGTCACAATGTTCTCGTGCTGGCCCTGTGGATTGTGAGGAAAATTTAAGGTATCACTATTATTCTCTGTAATCATGCTAGGCCTAAATACCAAACAACATATATAACTACATTTGTTAAATGCTATGCGCTAACACTTCAAAGTTATCAAAAGTTCTTTCTTTCTCAAGCAACATGTAAGGTTACCCAATAATAATGGCAATTATTTTTCAAACTTAAACCTATTCAACTCATTTATTTTCAAAAAAAAAAATTATATATTTTCAAACATCATAAAAAAAACACACTAGCAATATACTTTACACTCAAAAATAAAGACTGTACATATTTTTAGACATAAGAAGAACAAGAAGAAGTAAAGAAGAAGAAAATGAAGAAGAGGATGAAGATGAAGAACAAGAAAAAGAACAAGATCATTTACTAACACTTTCCATTTCCATTTCCAAGTACCATACTCTAAGGACACACTAACCTTCAACAGCGTATTGACCTCTCGCAGCGACGTGATGGGGAAACCCTCCTTCTCCTTCTCCATTTTCAGTCTTTTCAAGGCAACTATCTGGTTCGTGGCCTTTTCCCTGGCTCTATAGACCACCCCATATGTTCCTTCTTCAATTCTGAAAAGTCCAACGGTAAGCTTTGGTTCACCTGGCTATCATTAGTACACCTGAAAACTCTAGGTCCACTGCCTATTATAAATAAAAAGGAAAACTTTAAGTTCCAATGGCTATCAGAAACATCTACTAAAAGCTTTCATATCTAAAAATTCTACTATTCTGACATCAACTCACATTGGCAAAAGGGAACGAACGTACTATCCTTCCATACACAATCAATCAAAAAACACATACCTATTGAGGCATTCAAACTCATCGACTGAACGACATCCCATGATGGCTGGATAGTACGAAGGCAGTTGCTCCTTCAACTCTACCGGAGATTCTGGGGGAGAGTCATCCAAATACTCTGCCTCTTCTCGGTCTGAACGACGATCCTCTACTCTGCTAATTATAGAGAACATTATCATATGCATTACCTACTTTAAAGAATTTTACCATAGGTACATAGATACATACATATATATATATTTACATATATATATATATATATATATATATATATATATATATTATATATATATATATATATATATATATATATATATATATATATATATATATAAATATATATATATAAATATATATATATATACATATATTCATAAACAATATATAGAGACATACATATATACACATAAACATATATACATATACATAGATATACCCATAATATTCCTACCCCCCCCCACACACACACATTATATGTATATATTTGTATATATTTGTGCATATGTGTGGATATACATACATATAAATGTATATAAAAAATCATTCATAGAAGTACCTGGGTGAGTCCTCATAGCGTCCTGCCTGGGAGGGAGACAAAGTGCCAGACCTCGCTGATGCTGATCCACTCCCTGACACTGACAACTGGTCGGCAGCTGAAAGAGAAGAGACTTAATTACAATAAAATAATCAAGAAAGCGTAAGGGTTAAGCGGATGTCTGAAGGGGATGGGAAGTATTACGGTCGGAGGACTTAAACCGAGTTAAGACTGGTTTTGAATACATGTAAAAAAAAAGGTATGAATGAGAATGAATATCTTCACAATGCAAGAGATGTATTTTGATAAGTTCCAAACACATCTCTGTCAGAAATACATGTATCATCTGATGAAGATATATTCAAAACAAGTCTTGTGAGGATATTCATGCTCATTCATACCTTTTCTACATTTGTCTAGATGAATATGGTTCATGGTTTTGAAAACCTATATATTTAGGACACCAATCAATGTTGTAGCCAGTGAAATATAACTGAGCAGTGTGAAGAGAATACAAACCACCAACTGCCATTAACCCGTTTATCATATTTATCCATACATCATAAACTTAATTCATTTTGTACACAAGGACGATCATTCTCCCCTATTTCTTCTGGGGACGATCCCAGGTACGAGGTGACAGAAAACAATAAAATCATCTTTAATCGACTGCATCCTACAGCTTTGCTTCAATTCTTAACTCTGGGAAAATGTTGTGTTCACTTTAGTATTACTCTATCAAATGTCTCTGCACATAGATGGCTCTGCCAACGCTCACCCACAAAGGAGTCACCTGATTTCATTCAGTTTGCGGGAAAATGCTTTTTTCACTAATGCTATCAATATTGATACTGTTATTTCTATTATAAATATCATAATTACTATAATGTTACTATTACTAACAGCAGTATTAAATAACAGAAAATACTATAAAAAATCAAGGATGAGGATAAACAGGTGAAACAAGTAATTAGTACTTGTGGAGCCATCTATATGTAAAAACAATTACTAAATTAAACACACAGTGGGCATGCGCATGCCATCCCCAGCAGCATGTGGTTAAAATTCTGTGCTTTTTTTCTTTCTTTCTTCTATTTGAGAAACAGACTGAGAGACATTTTCTTCTGAAAATCTACATTTCTTTTTCTTTTCTTTCATTCTTCTGACCATAAATCAAAACCTAATTAAGCAATTAAAGAAAAGAAAACAAGCAAGAAGAAAAGGGTGAATAGCTGAAATTCCCACTAATGACAAAACTAGTTTTTTTTGTTTTTGTTTTTGTTTTGTTTTTTTCAAACCTCCCCTTAAAACTATATCAAAAGGAAACAACATAAACATTACATTATTCTCATCTTTTATACATCTTCAGTCCCAGTGTACCAGAGAAAAGAAGCGAGCCACTTCAGAGCCATTATCAATAAAATATGATAAAAGCTCGTCTCCTCACAAAGGCGACACATACTCACCTGTATCTTTTGCTTCCATGACATCCTCCTCCTTCTTCACTTCCTCTTCGACTTCTGTTTCACTACTGGTACTATCGGAATCTGAAAAAGGCGATCATAACAGCTGAAAGGAGCTAGACATCTGTCAGTGCTTTCATGATGAAGTAAATACACACCAAAAATATAACATGAAGTCCTTAAAAAATAAATCAATGCAGCAGCAACATATCAAAACATCTAATGAAAAAAGGGAATTATTAACACGGCATTTACATATCACCTCCGTGGTCACTCTCACTTGAACTGAACCTGTGTACCAAAAGTATTAAAAAAAAAAAAAAAAACATGAAATTAGGCAATATGCAGTGTTCTAAAAGTGTGGTAACAATGAAATATCAGAACTGGGATAGTAGTAAGAGCAGATGGCACTGGCATAAGTAATGTTGGCAATATTTGTGATAGTAGTGGTATTGGCAGTGGTAATGGTAGTGATTGTGGTAGTGATTGTGATAGTAGGGGTTGTAGCAGTGGTTGTGGGAGTGGTCGCTATTGTAGTTATGGGTGTGATTGTGGGAATAGTTGTGGCAGTGGCAGTAGCAGTGGAAGTGGTAGTTGTCATAGTTGTGGTTGTGATAGTGGTAGTAGTAATCAAATATATATATGTATATGTATATGTATATGTATATGTATGTGTAAAAAAATCATTAAAAAAAAAAATGCAAGATAATAACATCATCTATCAATGTGCAAGTACTTCAGATTCCCCTCAGTCCATTACAGGGTGCAGCTCATACAAAGTAAAAACACACAAATGCAAGACAAAATCAACTCTGTGTAGTGCGGTCAGTGGCAGTGCATAGCCTACAGCAAGTCAGGGAAACAAGGCTACATATAAAATCAATTCTTCAGTAGTGTGTGGCAACAGATAGAACCACCTTCATCAACATATAGAAGACAATAATCTCCACATTATATAATTACTTCCATCACTCATCTTTTACCAGTTAAGACTGGTAGATTAGCAATACATACATACACACACAAACACACATTATATTCTATTTATATATATACATATATATATATATATATATATATATATATATTATTATATATATTTAAATCAAATTCTAATCATTGTACTGTCTACTTAACAGTAAATAAAAAAGGAACTGATGTCAAGCCTAAATAATTATACAAAATAAATATAAGGGCAAAAAATATCTAAAAAGAAAAAAAAATAATATATATATATATATAAAGCACAGCAAAAATAAAAGGTGTGGAAGATTAATATCACAGCACGAGGCCTTATTACCTGTACCATTTTCTACGTCTGTCACAATTAAAGGCATCCACTGACTGTTAAAACCTACTCATGATTCTTATTGTAGAAAAAAAAAACACTGAAATGGTTTGAAAAACTAAAAACAGTAAGTACTGCATAAGGTCTGCAACAGGGGTGTCAAACTCATAGCTTTTGGGTGCAATTTTTCATTTTAGCAAACATCTTGGGCAAATCAAATGAGGGTAAATATTGATATGTACACACCTTCAAAGGCCTGCTTGCATTATTCTATAATAGCAATAGCAATATATATGTTATAAGTCTCAAAATGAGGTTATAGATTAATTTTCTGTCTCTGCCACATATTATTATCTTTCACGGCAATCCTAATTTCACTAGCTAAGAATTCTGCAACCTTGTGGGCTGCCTTTGACCATTTGGGATGTGTATGATGAGTTTGACACCCCTGGCCTCCAATTAGGCTCTTACGTTATGCAGAATTAAATTCTTAACCAGAAAAGAACC